ACGATACACAGAAGATTAATTAGCATGGCCCCTGCACAAAGATGGCATGCATTAATCGATAAATGATCCGAATTTTTATAAAGTATGGGACACTGGACCCGGTTTCCAGCTTGACCAGCATTGTATTGTAATATGATATCTGGGACGCTGGGGCCGATTTCCAAACCAGGCAGGTGCAGTTCCCCACCAATAGATGAAGCCTTCACCCGGGGGTCCACTTGAGAGGGCTGCTCTTATGACCCCGTCAAGTGCTTCCTCCCACCGAAGTTCAAAAAAGAAAAAGAAAAAAAAGAGAGAAATTTCATCGGCGGCCGTTGTCGCATTTCGGGCCTCTGAAAGTCCCAGTGAGGGGCCTACAGCCTATGAGTGTGTGCGAGGTACGGATGGTTTAAACTTTAAACTTTCTGTTCCATTTTCCGTTGATGCCGTATCTATCCGCCGTTGATTGCTTGGCCCCCCTGGCTGGTGATGACGTTCTGTTGCGGAATGAAGAATCTCACTTCAGCAGGAACAGAGATGGCCCTCTAGTTTGTTGTCATCCTGATTCTACTGAACTTCGGGCCTGGCCCCTCTACAGGCTCTACTCAACATTCGGCATGCACCAAGACCGCGCCTACTAGCCCCACTACTCGACATTCGGCACGCACCAAGACAGCATTTTCGACCAGGTACATTCTGACCGATTCCGTGTTTTGAGAGCATTGGGACTTTGGGACCGCATTCCGACTGATCCGGTGTTTTGAGAGCACTGGGACCCTTTCCAGCTTCGGACACATGTGGGACCGTTTCCAGCTACGGACACGTGTGGGACCGTGTGGGACCGTTTCCAGCTTCGGACACGTGTGGGACCGTTTCCAGCTTCGGACACATGTGAGACCGTTTCCAGCTTCGGACACGTGTGGGACTGTTTCCAGCTTCGGAAACGTGTGGGACCACTACCAGCTCCAGACACGTGTAGAACGTTGTGCGGTGGAGCAAGGCCCCCTCGCCAAGTTTGTCATCGAAGCGCAGAGTTTGATGCTGCAGAGAACGACACACACGTTGAAGATCACGGCTCGAACTTGGAACTGCCGTCGTCATCCGAATAGGACTGTGTACTTGAACAGGATCTCTTCTGTACGTCGTACACTTTCGTCCGAATAGAAAGCCTGGTCATTATCGCTGTTTCTAGACTCAAACTTGCCCCAGATACAGGTATAATGATCGTGCGTACTAAACGCGCGAAGATGGTCATTACCAAATGAGAAAGGTCGTACTTTGTCAAGCAGCGTTTACAACAGGACCACCGCTCTACGTTAGTAGAAACCTCGCCTCTTGCCTCCGCCTTATTCCTCCTCTGATTGATTGTGATCGACCAATGGATCTGTAGATTCTGTACCATCTACCGTCTTCCTTTGAATAGAACGTACGGTCATTATAAAACTGTATTCAGGGCAACTTTCTGTCCAGGTACTGCGATAATGGCTGTCCATTCGATTCGGGCGAAGACGGTAGTCCCATTGGTTCATAATCTTCTTCTTCTTCTTTTTTTTTTTTTTTTCCCACCGTTGATCATAGAGACCATCATGCAAGAATCAACGACTGAGGCAAAGTTGTAAATCAAGGTAGCCTTTAAAAAATAAAAAATAAAAAATAAAACAAGGTAGCCGTAGGGCAACCGGCGGCTTTATTGACAATTTGACACCACCTCCATGTGCTCCTCTCGCTCCCTGCAACTGACCTCCTCTTCAATTCCTGTCCCCTCCTCCTCCTCCTCCTCCTCCTCCTCCTTTATCCTCCTTGAAGTTGAACCAATGGTCCTTTTTCTTTTTTTAAATGGTCCTGGTGGTTCTCGGTAGTGCGGTACACAATCCAGGATCACCGGTTCTTTGAGGACAAAGGTTCCCACTCCTTTGAATCGTTGTCTTCTGAGGATCTGTAGTTCTTTGTCCTCCAAACACTTGTGGTCCTTTCTTCGCAGAGAACATGGTCTCCATCCCTTTTCCCCCAAAGAACTTGTGTGGCTCTCCTTTCTCCTCTTAAGCAATTGTGTGGTTCTCCCTTCTCCTCTTAAGAAATTGAAATTGTGTGGTTCTCCTTTCTCCTCTTAAGAAATTGTGTGGTCCTGCTCTTTCTCCGCCAAAAACTTGTGGTCCTCTTTACTCAAAGAAATTGTGCGGTCCTGCACTTTCTCCTCCAAAACCTTGTGGTCCTCCTCTTTATTCAAAGAACTTGTAGCCCGGTCTGCGGGTTATTTACAAGCATGGGAATCCGTCTTCAATTGTCCCCTACGAAGGACTTGAGGTTCCGATTGTCCCCTACGAAGGACTTGAGGTTCATTCCTTTGTCCTCTACGAAGGACTTGTGGTTCATTCCTTTGTCCTCTACGAAGGACTTGTGGTTCATTCCTTTGTCCGTCAAGAGGCACGGGTAGTCGCTGTGGCCCGTTGTCCTCTACGAAGAACTTGTGGCTCATTCCTTTGTCCCTCAAGAGGCACACAGCCCAATGCTTCGACTGAGCCCAATACTAGAAAACACTGGGGCCCGCCCAATGCTTTGACTGAGAGAATGAGCAGAAAGAGGCAAAATTTTGGGACAAACAGCCCTAGGAGAGGGGGCAGTAGGTAAGCATCCTGGCAGTAAATGG